TGCGACAGATTGCTGAGCTCATTTCTCATTCATTTCTCAACGGATTTTGTTGAGAGTAGGCGCGTTCGAAAGCGGGTAAGCGGGGCTTTCATACGGTACCCTACTCACGAGGTAAATGACGTAATTTAGATGTTCCAAAATTCCGGCCGGCTGGTTTGAACCAGACGCGGCAACGGCCCTTTCTCCATCACCCCTGAGCTGAATTTCATGAATCCGGGCGATTCTGAAAGCTTAAATTAAGGCAATCAATATTGCACCACTCTAGAATGAAACACACATGATGTGCACCTGCAAGAATGGATTTACTGATTGACACTGAATATTCATTCCTAGCAGGTTGCCTTGAGAATAAACCAAAATATAATATATCATAGAGCTTTGCCTTGATCTCAGCCTTCAGAATCATTTAGATTCATGCAAATCCGTTGTCTGGCGATGGAGAAAGGGCCGTTGCCGCGTCTGGTTCAAACCAGCCGGCCGGAATTTTGGAACATCTAAATTACATCATTTATCTCGTGAGTAGGGTACCGTATGAAAGCCCCGCTTACCCGCTTTCTAACGCGCCTACTCTCAACAAAATCCGTTCAGAAACGAATGAGAAATGAGCTCGGCAATCTGTCGCATCAAAAATGCTTTCTTTTAACTATTTTTAGCGAGTGTCATTAGTTTTGCAAACAGCTGTAAACGCACCTTCTTATATGCTTACACAACCTAATGAAACCGATTTAGGTACCTTGGGCCCTCCTGGTGCACGGGAGGGTTTTGGGGATGTGGTACACCCCTCTCGTGAGTGCCTGCAGGCTGCGAGTCCAGAATATGAAATCAGCAGGAGTCAGGGGACCCAGGGGCCTATCCCTGGCTACGAAATGTGCGGCCCCTCCTGTGACAGTCTTGTTGCTCTGGCTATTACAGGGCAAAGCGAAGGGCAACAGGGTAGTACCCCAAATAATATTTCCGCTCTAGCCCAAAGCTTTCCGAGAGCAGATCCCAATGCCATGGAAGACATTGAGCTGGAGCCGCAACGGAGTATTATGGAAGGTACTTCCCACCGCGTGGAGATGCAGAGGAGAGAAGCTCAAGATTTGTGTCTAAACGATAACAGTATACCAGCCCATTCAGTGAATAATATGGACACGGAAGGGAGAGCAGGAGAATTGAACTTGAATGATGAAAATGGCTGGGAACGATTGAATCTGAAGATACGGAAGTTAAATAAACCGCCGCGGGTACGAAACTCTGGCAAATTCACACGCTCGAGTGTAACAATTGGTTCACTTAATATCGCAGGCCGGGACACAAACATGTCTATGCATAATCGAAACCACAAGTTTCAATTCCTCAAACAAACCATTGATTCAAATAATCTTGGTGTTCTAGGTTTGCAGGAGTCCCATTTTGATCCTGATTCGGCGACACAATTTAATAACATTTTCAACCGCTGGTTCAAACTCTTTTACTCCGCCCACCCAGAGAAACCCTGTTCCACTGCTGGGGTTGCTTTTGTAGTGAACAAGAAATTCCTGGACACTGAGAACATCGTTGAATATGAATTGATCCCGGGACGTGCTTTAATGATCGTGATTCCATGGCACAAGGGTTCAACACTGAATATTTTGAACATATATGCCCCAAATCGCTCCGATGACAGAGACAAAATGTGGAAGGAGCTCTGGAATCTTTGGCTCAACAATCCTCAATTACCCTTGCCCAATGTTACATTGGGAGACTGGAATTTCGTCGAGGATCCAATAGATCGTAACTCAGGGAACACGGATTTAGTACCAGAAAGTTACAAACGAATCAAGCACCTACTCCGACTACGCGATGGCTGGCGGGCAACCTTCCCAGACATTCGAGATTATACCTGTGTCCAACACCGAACAGATTCACGAACAAATGAAGTACATGACTCGTACTCCAGAATTGACCGAATCAATGTGGATAGTCAAGACTATGATTCATACAGAGACTGGACAATCAAGCATTGCCCGGTGAAAAGCGACCATCGATTGGTGATGGTCCAATTGACATGCCGCCAGGATGAACGACCTGGACAGGGAAGATGGAGCTTACCACTGTACCTGTTGAAATCATCAAAATTCATGAAACAAGTGCAAGCTCTGGCGGCAAAACTTTCGACAGATCTCGAGGATTTGAACAGCTGTGAGCGTAATCCAACTCAGAATATTCAGTCCTTATGGGCACAATTTAAGTCAGATGTTACAAAATACGGAAAGCACTGCTCGCGATTCATCACTAGTGAATCAACTCGTCAAATTCGGACCTGGAAGGCTCAATTGACTCTAGTCCTCCATGATGATGATATGCCCATACAGGATAAGTCAGAGGCGATCTACATGCTAGAAAATAAAATCCGTAAGTGCCTGGAAGACGAAGCGGAAAGAAAGAAAGCCTCAGCTGAGGCTCGTTATGATATTGAAGGTGAGACATTGCGAACGAAATCATGGACGCAGTCTGCGAAATATCACTGCCCAAAGGACTCCATAAATGAATTCAAGAAAAACTCAGAATCAGAAGAAGCAGTACCAAGTTACGAAACTAGGCCAAAACAGATGGCAAAGATGGCGAGAGATTACCATAACTCGATCCAATTCAAGGACCAGTCCGATGAGTATGGGAGGATTATGGCGACTGAAATTACTTTAGAGAAATGCAAGGTCCGACTATCAGAAAGCCAATTCAATTCAATGAACAAGGACATGTCATCGGGAGACGTGGACCGTGCACTAAAACTCTCAAACAATGGAAAGTCCCCAGGACTTGATGGGATCCCATATGAATTCTACAAGATGTTAGACGTCTTATTCCGGCAGAGCAAAGGTGCTGACCAGAAACTTTTTGACGTAGTGACCTTCCTGACCAAGCTGTACGTCGACATTGAGAAATATGGAATGGTTGAGACTTGTAAATTCAACGCTGGATGGCTATGCCCAATTTTCAAGAAGGGAGATAAATCCGTAATCAGTAATTATCGGCCTGTCACCTTACTAAACTGCGACTACAAGTTAATGACAAAGACCTACTCTTTAGCACTGATGGATGTTGCCCCCTCTCTGGTACACCCTAACCAAGCTGGTTTCATGAAGGGCAGGAAAATTGAGGACCAGGTGAAGCTTGCAAAATTCCTCCTGAACTATGCCGAAGCAGCAGAACAGGATGGACTCATAGTTGCATTGGATCAGGAGAAGGCCTATGACAGAATAAACCATGCATACCTATTGAGGGTCCTTCAACATATGGGGTTCCCACCAAAATTTTACAACACAATCAAAGCCCTATACACAAATGCTGAGACCGTGGTAATGATTAACGGGGAGATTAGCGAATCATTCATAGTCATCCGGGGAGTTCGACAGGGAGACCCCCTCTCATGCCTTTTAGTTAACCTTGCAATCGAGCCGCTGGCCTGTTTGTTAAGAGATTCAGAGCTTAAAGGCATTAAAGTGCCTGGAAAAGACGAGGAGCTCATCGTCTCACTTTTTGCAGACGATACAACAATATATCTGTCATCCAGTAATGCCCTAGAAAAACTCTGGGAAATTTTGCGTCTATGGTGTGCCGCATCAACAGCGAGATTTAATGAACACAAAACAGTCCTTTTACCATTTGGTCGGCCCGTTTATCGGGCAAAGGTGCTACAGGAGAGAAGGCTAAATGACAAGATGCGAATTGGCGCAATTGAAGAAACAATGAGAATAATTCCTGATGGTCAAACTTGCCGCATGTTGGGCGCATGGATCGGAAATAATGTGACATATATTACGCCATGGCCCAGTGTAGTTGAAAGAATTAACAGTGACCTCGAGAGATGGAAACTAACATCACCCGGTCTCGAGGGGAAACGGCACATAATCAACATGGTGATTGGAGGCCGAACACAATATCTGACCAGAGTTCAGGGCATGCCAAAAGACATTGAAGATACTTTGATAAAAGCCGAACATATCTTCCTTTGGGATGGAAAACGGGCCAGAGTAGCACATGAGACGATGATTCTAGACATTGCCAGCGGCGGGAAGCAAATTCTGGATATCCCAGCGAGAAATGAGGCAATTGATTTGTGGAATTTACAAACATACCTGGTACAAGGTCATGAACGTGCTACTTGGTGCTATTTCATGGACTATATGCTGACCAAATTCTTGGAGAATAGCTACCTCAATATCCGACCTGGCCAAGTCTTGAATGTTTTCTTGCAAGACATCCATATCCCTGTATCCAACGAAACACCACTGCCAGATGAGATCAAACGGATGATTCTGACTGCCCGAAAATACAACCTAAAATTCACGGCATTGTCAATTAGCAATTCGGTGAAGTTGGAAATGCCGATCTGGAAACATCCAGCGGTGAATGTGATCCAGTACAAGAGTGCTAATCGACGTGATTCTGCGAAATGCTTACGACTCAACCATAAAGTTCGAACGGTCCATGAAGCACTTATAATTGCAACGCGGAGAACCACTGTATCAAGAAAGCCTCACACAGTAAATCCCTCAGGAATCGGGCGCAAGAACTGTGGATGCCCCTTGTGCCAACGAGATCGAAATGAATTTAACTGTGAACATCCTGGGAAATGCATTGAAACGGCCAAAATGTTTATAGACTGTCTTACGCAGAAATGGAACCCAATGTCGGAAAAATCTTTGTTGCCTGGTTTCCGAAAATATGAGATTATCAGAGAATATCAGGTCATTAGACCGGGGGTGCCTTATTTTTTTCAAGAATGTACCTTTTTCAAATATCAGGTAATATCAGACCTGAGCGCCATTATCAGGCTAATCACGAAATATCAGGACTACGACGCCTTATTGGGCCTGATCAGACGACGCTGGGAAAAGGGGAAGAAACAAAAATGAACCAACCTTTTGTGAGACCAAGCGTTGTACCTTTTGTTGTGACTTTTCTACGATCACGTCAGTCTTGAACTCTAATAGTCAGTAGCTAATCTAATAGATCCAAGACTGTAAGAAATTGACTGTTAGCTGCGAGACTCGAACGCGCGACCTCTTGGTTTGGACTAAAATGAAGGTGTTAACCACTACACTACGGAAGACATGATATACAATATTTTTTGATGTCATACATACCACCGCCTCGACACATCACAGGAGCTCCGAATTGACTTCAGAATACCTAAAGGGTGGCCACACGCGTGTATAGAGGCACAAACATATGAATTAAAGTATGATTAAGCCTTAGCCGGCACCTCCTCTTCGTCTGCATCCAACAGATCCATAGCATCCTGCAGCTGCTTCTCAGCCTCATCGCCGCCATTGCCGTTGGCAGCAAGACTGGAGTCGGTATCGGGGAAGAAAATATCGTCCCACTCACGGAAGATCCGTAGTACGGATGCCTTGCGCTTGTCGAGGCCGTTTTGAAGATATTTGGTGTACTTCTCAAGGTCGGGTTGCCAATTCATACCCGTCTCCGTGCCACGCGGAGTCAACTCGATATCGGCGGAAACAGCCCAACGAGCCTAAATTTTTGTTCAGTTAATCATGTCAATCAGAGCGGGGATTTGAAAAAGGTGCCGCACTGAGATAGCGCAGGCAGCGATCACGCCCGGGGGGGTATTGCGAAGAGCCCAAAGTTGGGAAACACATTTACCGGTCGCCTGAGTTGGGACGCCGGTGTTCTTCATTGCCTTACACGCCGCCGGTCCACGCGTTACGCTGGCAAACACCTACATGGTGAACGTAAACATTTGCGGACGTCACAGTCACAAACTATCGAGCTTACCAAATAAAGTTTTGGGCCACGGAACACGTTATTAACGTCTAGAGAGCCGGCGTAATTTTTGTGCAGAATTTCAACGTTGAAAACTTCGTAATGCGAGCCATCTGCATTCTCGACGTAACCTATCGAGGTGCGGAACTTCTCGCGGCGGGATTCCGAAGTAGAGAGGTGCAATCAAAGATATCCGTTCCGCATTGGGGACGAACGCGAGCAGCAGCATTGCTGCGCTGTGTTCCCATCTCACTGCTGAACTAGAAGTAAGTCAGAAACCATCTCGTAACTCGTTTAGGACGGAAATGGGTTCGGAAGGCACACCAATTTAATTAGCCAGTCAGCGCGCATCACCTCTCCATGAAACTTTCCCCGCAAGATGTCCAGCAAATCCGCGAGCTCCCCCTGAACTTTCGATTTCCCAGTCTCGAAGCGCTTGAGTGGAATATACTGATCATCGACATCAGTGTTCACAGTACTAGTGAGGTCCGAAATCCACATCATCTTCGTCATCACAAATTTATGCGCCAGATGCTTGACTTCTTTCGTTTCGTCGTCGGGCCCTGCGGCTGTTTTGAGTTTCTTCCTCCCAAGTTTGGGTGCCGTGTCGCTTTGATTGGTGATATCTGCCACCTTGCGGTGCGCTTCTCGAAGCTCCTTCGCGTCGTTTGCTTTCTTCTGTTGCTCCCGCGCGGCCTGGGAAGTATTTGGCTAAATTCACGCAGGCTGACGCGTCCATCCATACCTTGTAAAGCTCATCAGCTGGGAGGTCAGTGCGTAGCTCCGGACTTGGGGAACGCGACAATGAGCCCGGTATTGTCGTCGTCCTCTTCATCATTGGAATAGATTCTGGAAGCCTTTCTCTTGTGAGCAGATGGCATGGTGGTGGTTGAGCGAGCGAAAAAGTTGTGGAGCGTACACAGAAGTCACGGATGATGTCATCCAGAGTCACCGCCACTGTCGATCCCCGTCGATCAACTGAATCTTCTCTTTCAAACCTCACGTCCGTACGCTCCGATGGTCCGAACCGCGACGATCGCTGTGCACCAGTGCAAGTGGTGTGAAGCTAAATTCGATGGGCGTGGCTTTCACAAGCACCAAGACTCTTGCGAGGAACGGCACCGAATTAAACGCCAGACAAAGCATCGACGAAAACACAATGCCTCGGTCGTCGCAAAACGCCGTGAGGATACCAGCAATGTACCAGTAAGTATGCGAAGTTCAGTCGGGCTTCTTATCAATTTATTTTATGCAGCAGCTGTCGGAGATTGAGCCAGTTCCAAGACACGTTACTGAGACTACACCAGGTAAATTGTCTTCTAGCGCAGATCCAGGATAGTTTTGAAATCGGCTTCCGCAGCTCCAATGGACGTCGATGATAATGTTCCAGAATCAGAATTAAACGGTCGTGCAAGTTCAGATGGCCTCAATGACTTGATTGACGGGGATATGTTCTGGGAATTGAATTATGTATTTTTGTCTCAGCCACAGTTTTATTCCATTGCATAACATGTGCCTCTTCCTCGTTTACCGTTGACGGCTCAAATTGGAACTCTCTGGGGCAACCTACAATATATGTTCTGGCCTCAGAATATCAGATCTGAGATCGCCATATTTGGCCTGATATTGTCCCTGCGCGGACAATATCAGACCATATCAGGTTATCGGACGGTCTCAGACCTGATAGGTCAACAATGATTTTTCCGACAAACCATTGCAAACGGTGACCTATGTGAAGACCTCGCTCTGACAAATGCGGAGCTAAAAGCAAACGAAATGGCAATACAGACAGATCAAGTCATGGTTTTCAATCCGGATTTTACTCTGGATAAAATTGAAACGGGATTCCGCATCTTTGCCTCTGAGGAATCACTTAACGAGATCTCAGTCAAGAGACGTATTCATGGAGAAGCACCGCGCCCGATCACATACTTCCTGCACCCACAGATTTCACATGCCGGCGAGTTTGAGCCGGAAATCAAACTTAGTTTCACGCGAGTAATTGACTCTGTACAGGATAGTATGGCCCTATCCATGACTTTTGATAGGGCTGATATACCAATGACTTTCTCATCTGCACTATTGGGAGCATTGTTATTAATACTGCAAAATACTCAACAAGATGTTCCGCTCCTGATCTGTGCCTCCTCCGACTTCCTACTACGCGCTTTGGTCAAAGATAGAAAGAAATATGAAAATGACTTGTTAGATCCAAACTTCCGCCTGCTCAAGGCTGTGGTCGCCATGTTGAACGAGAGGGTGGGCCGAACACAGTTCAAGAAAGTTGAACAGAACCCTGCTAAATTCAATGGCGATGAACCGACTCAGACAGTTGAATTAGACACAGAGCCCGACATTATGTTCCTGTCTCCAGGAATGCTTTTATCACAGGGCTCCCAGAGAGTATTCACCAAGATTATACGCTCACTGCGTCCAATACCCCACCGAAAAACGACTTTTGTAAATCTAGACCGCATTCGCTGCTCCATCGAGGAAATTTCTGGGTACAAACCATCTGATGCGATGATTTGGACATCCATTCGGTCGTCTACAATACAACGGCGTTCACGAGAGTTCTTATGGAAATGCATTCACAACACCTTCAGAGTAGGTGATTTCTGGTCCCATATGGACACTCTGCAGATAAATGGCAGATGTCATGTCTGTAATGTGACTGAATCTTTAGAGCACATTGCTTTGGAATGTTATTCTCTGGAGCAAAAGATTATATGGTCTCTCACGAGACAACTGTGGTCAAGGAAATATTCCTCTTGGCCAAAACTCAACTGGGGGTTGATCTTGGGCTGTAACCTCGTACGATTTAAAACAGTAAATGGAGTCAGACCCGAGCACGGGAGACTGTTTGCAATATTGGTCTCAGTCGGATGGCATTGTATCTGGGACCTGCGGGTGAACCGAGTTATTAAAAATCCTGGTACAACACTTACCGTGGCTAACATCCACAACCACTGGCTGAAATCAGTGAATTCAGCCTTGCAACGCGACCGTATCTTAACGGACAAAATTAAATTTGGCCCATTCGCGTTGAGAAAGCAAATGGTACTAAACACATGGAGCGGGCTGCTTAGGGATGAGGACTCATTGCCGGATGATTGGACACTCACAGAGGGGGTTTTAGTGGGTATATGGCCAATGAATGGTATAGGATAACTCACACAGGCCAGAGTCCCACACTGGTTAAAATACTGTGCGTAACGGCATTTCCTCCTGGACAAAACTCACCGGCATGACTGGCCCAAAACCAGCAACACAAGCGGACAAACATAGAATGCTTCTGCAGACTTTGCCTTTGTTATTCCAAACGCTCCAAAAAAAAAAAAAAAAAAAAAAAAAAAAAAATTTAACGTTCTCTAGCGCGCGCTAGCGACCGATCTTCAATTTCCTTTTTGGGACAAGAAAATATTGTTTCGCTCGTGCGTCCATCCTGTTGCGCTTCGCGATTAATGGTTACTTGGGCTGGATCTTCAAATGCTCTTCCGCCCTCTCGTTGCCCGCGCCGATTTTTAATTCACTTCAATCCCTCTCTATGGTCGTTTGCGTCACGGCCTTTCCATGTCAACATCTGTCGACTGCGCCCTTCTTGAGACACGTAATTCTCTTCTGATCGTGATTGACAGTTTTATTATGACTCCTTTCGCGGCTCACGCAGAAACCGTGGATCGGAGCTTGCAATATCAGGCTTGAAAAACCTTCGACGGATTGCAACTCCTCTTCTGGCTTCACTTTGCCGTCAAAGTCTTGGTGGGGCTCCTTTGAGTCTTTCTACATGGGCGCCAAGAGACTCGCCTTAGAATAACCGAGAGTCAACCTTCCTTCCTACTCTAGTCGCCACCTTCTATATTGTCTATTGAGTCTTGCCCCAGGCCAACCTCACGTTCTGAGTCATCATGATGTTCACATCGCTCACACTGACCTTGTTTTTTGTTTTATTCGGCCATCGCACCTCTTCCAGCATGACGGTCGTATTGCATGCAGCTCCAAGACCCACTGAAGCTCAAACGGCCTTGCACAAGGGGAGTCGGCATGGGTGGACGGTTGGCATAGATGTGTCTCACACATTTCATTTCAAACCGCTGTCTGCTGACTTGCCCTCACCAATCGAATTCATTCTGAGCTTTCCATTCAGTTCAGTTATCTACGCTTCTCTCTTCTCTCCTCCATTCGTACGAACTTTTCATGTTTTCTGGGTCGCCATTTCTCACAAGTCCATTGGAACCTTGCACCCTGCTGTGTTGTTTTAAACTTCAACGTGAATAGTGTACGCTACGCAGTTCTGTTGAACATGCCTAACTTGTTGTGATTCAAC